CTAGTGTATTTGTGTTTAGGGCTGGTTAGCAAGTGTTAGCCCGCTAACATCATTAGTTTTGGTCACTGTGATGCAGGTTAACTAGGTTAATTGGTGACTCTAAATTGTCTGTAGGTGTGAATATGAATGTGAATTATTTCTTTGCCTCTTCCCTGGCGACCGTCGCTGGAGGCATTATGTTGTCTTGTTGGTTCCTCTGTCCAAACATCTGCACATCCATATGACCCATTCTTGTGAATGCCATATGTCAGGAACTCCTTGAGGGAATGTCTTCAACTTTGGCACATGTCCACTTGGACTCAAGGGTGAACCGATTAGATTTTGGTGTTTAAAGGTCAAAGTTCCAGGTCAGCAACCTCATCTTTGTCCATTCCTGTGAATTTGACATGTTGGTGGAGGCACAGAACCATGAAGCAGTAATTGTAGTCAGTCTCTGTGTCATACTTGACTGGTGACCTATCCAGGTTGTATGCTGCCTCTCACTCGGCGTCAGCTGGGATCAGCTCTAGCTCCCTATGGGATACGCGGACAGATAGTATTATACACAAAATAAACAGTTTGCTGTTTCTATGTATGGTTTATTATTCCATAGAATTAGGGATTTAAATTACTTTTATCATGTATTTGAAATTATGCTTCCCCTGTCTGAGTCTGTCCCCCAGCTTGGCCACGCCCTCCAAAATGCTAAATGTCCTAGACCCCCCCCCCTCCAGAGAGCAAGTGTTGTTTGTCTGGATTGGAGCACAGCTGTTGTGATGAAAATTGGGTTGTAGCTAGTTGTCGATGTTAGTATGGTTGGAAAGACGTAGTTTGTTACGTAGCAACATTTCGCTCATGACTTACTGATCTGGGAATGTCAAACCTTTTTCTTTCTTTCTTTCTTTTTTTACACTTTTTTTCTGTTAAGAGGGGTAGTAAAAATTCGAACTGGTATAAACAGAATTTCGTATCAGTATTTGTCTCAACGTTTGATTTCAAGCGACATCGTGTGTGATTTTTATTTAGAAAATCCTCGCGGTGCTTCCGGGCTAGTCGACATTATTCACGCATGTATGATAGAAGAAGAAGAATCATCATCATCTCCTCGTTTGTAAGAGGTCACCGTCTGGAGACAGAAAAACGATGGTATGCCACAATATTTAATGTGTAGCTGAGCATTGTAACGGTTATTGTTTGTGTTTTGTTTTAAGCTTCGTAGTTCTAAAGTTAACCTCTTTTCCTGGATATCCATTCGGTGTTGTGTGGATATCTTTAAAATAATGTTAACTTATCACTCAGATAAGGAAAATGTTTGGTCATCACCTGGAGCTTCGAGCTTACTGGAGACAACTAAAGGCGTTTGTTAAGGTAAAGTCATCAGCGAGCTAATTAACGCTACAGTCATACATGTCACCAACTTGTACCCGAGCTTTGTTTCATGGTTATAATATTAGGTTTACAGATTCATTGGAGTTTTGTGGGTCTACGTGTGGTTAGGAGCGAGCCGTAGCCTGCTAAATTCGTCGGTTCACGGTAACTTTTATGGTGTTTGTGAGAGTCTGGACGTCTTTCCATGGTGCAAACTAACGTTACTCTTGTAGACGTCACGCAGCCTTAAACATTTGTTGCAGCGGTTGAGTCCATCTAGTTGTGTGTGGTCTGTGTGTTGGACTGCAGGTTGTAATATGGTAAAATACAACGTAATTTGTTTGTAGACACTGTGGATTGAGAATTGACCTGTTGTGGTGCTGCACATTTCTAACCTTTTTTAATGTATGTGGTACAGTTAATACCAGACTTCATGTTTCCTTGGGTAATATTTAGAAACCAGCCCTGACTTATTTTCTAGTTTTATGTTGAAATGAAGGGGGTTTTCTCGAAAGAAACGATTTGGACGTTAATACATCTTTTCGTACTGCTTTCCTTCAATAACTGATTGTATGAAAACATGTAATCAAAGTAATTCCTCCTCCTCTTTTGCAATGCAGACGCTCTCTCTCCAGCGGCAGATGATGGAGAACCTCATCATAGCCAAAGCCAGGCAGGAGGCTGTATCCTCTTGTCAGCTTGTGTTCTGTTTTCACTGTCTTAATCTTTTGTTGCTTGATTAGTGATGATTTGCTTTACTGGTTTTTCACAAAGGCAGGAGTTGATGCTTTCTTCTCATATCTTATGTGACTTGTTTTGTCCTGACTGATAACATTTTACATGCTGTCCAAATTCCTGAAATGAGACTAGAGAGCTGTGAGCAGGGATGGGCAGA